TGGTGCAATTTACTGAACCATTAGCACATCTAGACTCATTCATAACACACAGGCTTCTTTCAAAGTTGCAAGAGAAAGTTGCACAGAGCGAAAGGGAAGCATACTGGTCATCTTGGCTTGTCAGAATTGGGTGAAAACTAAAATTCAGAAGCTGTGCTGAAATAGAGAAAATCTGCAGAAAACAGATCCTTGCTGTCACCACAAGGAGGTATACTGCCTTGTCACCCTTGTCTGGGTGGCCCAATAAAAATTATACTGTCATTGCTAGTAAGAAACCTAATTCTACCATTGCAAGGCCACAAGAATTGGTAAGCTGTTGGGTTTTTTATTAGCTTGAGTGAATTTACAGTGCAAACTGAAGCTTGGTACCAGGTGCCTTTTGTTATGATGTGGAGTTTAAGTGTGACATAACACCAGAGACCTTGAAAATGTGTATACAGGCTGAAAACTGAAACCACAAGACTATAAACATCTCAGTGGCAGTCAGCTCCTGGTTCTTGAAGAGTTATAACCTTAAATGCTGAGAACACTGCTCTAGACATAACAAAGAGGATAAGGAAGCAGTCAAACAACAGAATGAGCCAAATGAATTGTGTGGCCACAGGAAGATAACACCCACCAGCGTTGCAGAGTATATAGTCCAGGGAAAGGAGACCAAATACTTAAAATCCACTGAGAAACTCAAATATTTTTAAAATGGACTAGATCTTGATATTTGAAAGGAATTCCTGCTGACAAATGGTCGCCATCACTGGGTCATCATGGAATTCTCTTCCTACAAGCTGTGTCAAAGCTTCAAGCACATTATCTGCTTCAAGGATTATGACTCTTCAAATGTCTTTTGTCATGCCAGTCAAGCTTCAGGACTGTATAAAAGTCTGTGTCTGAGTACATAAACTACATGAACTTGTTGTCTCAAGCTTTGTAATTTCTGAATAAAGCATGTAAATTCAGTTTGGTTAGTGTGATAACTGTAAGTGTGACAACTATCACACTGATCAGCCCTGAAATGATTGAGCAATTGCACTAGATAATAGTTGTTGGTCCCTTCCAACTGGAAGTATTCTATTGCATTCTATGTATGCTTCTTATTTTTGTGCATAAATACATCCATAAAATCCTCAGTGTTAGTCTTCCACTGAAATAAAAGACAAACCTCCAACAGAACCAGGATTTTAGACATCACACAGGAATATACAGTTTCACAGAATATAGTGTTGGAATTGGTGTGGCCAGACCCCCACAAGAAAGTGTTAGGTAGTATAAAACTGCTGGGTTGGAATAGTTCTCTCACTGTTGCACAGTTTCTGTACTAATACTATTTGTTTCTCACTTTTGTACTTTACATTAGAAGTATATATATATAGTTGCATATCCTCTTACCTCCACTACTACTGCTTTAATACAGGATAAAGAAAAGCACAGGGGCTCAATCTTCTGTCATTTTTAGACTATGAAAGGCAAAATGGTATTCTGCCCTTGTAAATTTATTCCAGAAGTTAATTATTTGTGTTCTGGAGGCATTTTTTTTCCCTGCTTCTTTACCTGGCGGTTGAACAAGGAACTTGCCCCAGGAAAAAAGGGTGTGTCTATTCTGTGGAGCTGGAGGTAAGCATTTGTGCAGGAAAAACCTAAAGCACCTAAAGAACTTCAAGGAACAAGCTGGGACTTTGAGCCTCAAGCCATGTAGTTTAGTTGGAGAAATTATCACATGGTAGTGTATTAGACTGTAAACTAAAATTGAGTGAGAGGTAGCACACTAGAGACCTGCTTAAAATATTACAAGTAAGAAACACTTACTTAATGAACTGCTCTTTCAATCAGCTAGCTTTTGGGGGAAACTTCCTTATAATTATTCTCAGCACTTATATGCATGATGTATTAAGGTTACACTCACAAATCGTTTTACATGGCCAATAATAGTGTGAGGTTTTTAAATAAAAGGTTAGTTAATTCTTATAACCTTAAAATTCAACAGACTATGGTGTGGCTTTCAACCCTATGTAATTCCTTAAATTCTACTGTTATGGCCCATTGTGGGGTATATTAGTAACTCCTGCAACATAGTTCCAACTTTTTATTCTCTCTCTGGAAAATTTTCATGAAACTATAAAGTATGTATTAGCCATTACACAAAATGCAGCCATTTCTGTAGGGATTATATTTTATTCAGATCTCTTTCAGTAACTATCATTCACTACCCCTAAATAAACTATGCCTGCATTTGTATCCACCTGTGACTGTAGTCAATGTAAATGACCTGGTGAAATGATTAGTAAGAGTTCTGTCATGAAACTTTCCTGTCTATGAGACAGCCTCCAAATGGACCTTTTTTTAGAGAACTGGTTGGGTTTACATGTATACACACATTTTATATTGCCTATAATACTTAATCAGACAAAGCAAAAAACCTATATTTATACAGTGTCCTCTTCTCACCATAATTTACAAAATTCAGTGCTTGGTAAAAGACAGCATCCATTCTGTGTGTCACTTCAGCACTGACACATCATGGTATGCCATTCATCAAAGCCTTTTCTGATCTGAAATTGAGGCAATTTTTTATGCTGTCTCTCATATAGTACTACACAGTTGAGAGTCTGTTGGTTGTGTTCAAGCAGTCACTGCAGTCTCTCAGAAAAATGCAGTTCTCCTTAGGAAACAGCCAATACCAGCATAAAGCCTTACTACACTACTGCAACTGCAGTTGTGCAAAGGACAGTATGTGGTGCTAATATTGTGTGTAGATAAGGCCTTGAGACTCATTTCAGCTTCTCCCCCCTCCAACAACAACAACCACCAAAACCAAAAAACCCAAACAAACAAACAAACAAAACAAAACAAAAAATAAAACAAAAAAAAAAAACAACCAAGAAAGAAACAAACAAAAAAAGACGTGTACCTCAAAATCATAACAATTGAAATAACTGATTTTCAATTCCACTAAAAACCTCACAGACAGGCCCAAAATATCAGAAGTGTGTCTGCATGTCTGTCAGATTCTCCAGCTCCTCCACCTTGCCTAGCTGAGGTGTGGATTCAGGAGTGCTGAGAAAAGGGGCTAACCCCCTGAAGGTGCTGGTTTTTTAAAAGTACCAAAATACAAGGCTATGATACACATAATCAGGTCCTTGGAAGTAGCAAACCTTACCCTGGCTTATTTGACCAACAGATATAACTCTGCTAAATTAATGTTTCTCCTCTTGCCCATTAAGGTATCGTTAAGGAGAAAATTATGTCCCTTTTTTTCCATCTCCATACATTTTGTATTCCCTTTGCTTACTATAGCCCTGATGGCTTCTCATGATATTTCTGATGTATTTTTGTGTTTGTGCAGGATGGATGCAAATAAATCTGTTATATGCTTCTCTAGTTTTACAATGAGAAATCTAGATTTAAAAAAACAAGCTATTGAAGTGTTGCTGTTCAATTTCCTCTGGCATAGTAAGTTTTCTTACAAAATTAATACACTGCTATCACTTGAAAGCAAGAAATGGAGAAAGCAAGCAAGAGCACCCTAACTGTAAAAACGCAGAACATCCTCTGTTCAGAAATACAAACCTTTCCAAAATATGTACAAAAAATGTAAATTTCTCACCTTCCCCACTTCCTGAAAGTAGGAGTGCGTTTGTTGTTTGTTTTGTTTATTGGCTTGTGGTTTGGGGTTTTTTTTCCCATAATATTGGGACTTCCAGCAGCAGAACTGTTGAAACAGCTGCAGTCCTATGTTTTATATCACCAGTATCTGGAGTCCTTCCTGATATTCTCCATCTCATTTCCAAATTTAACCTCACTTCGATCACCTGAAATCCCCTGGCATGGTCTCCTTTCCATTCTAGGAGCACAGTATTATCTATCTCTGTGTGTTCTGTGGTCATATCAGAGATTGCTGGCTACGGTCAACAGAAATGACTGTAGGGACTTTCCTGTCTTCAATGATTTTGATTGTCTAACCATTAATTTGAGCTCCTTACCAAACACAGCTGGCAGCTGCTAGGGGAAATAGAAGCTATTTCTATTTCTGTTTTCTATTTCTATTCTCTACATATCTTCATCATATACAGAATATTAATTCTTAATTTCTGGGGGTTTTTTGATCAAGTCTATTACACCAACACCTAGACTTGGAGCTCTTCAGCAGCCTGTCAAGTAGCCACTACCCACTTTCCCATTTATTTCAGTGTATCATTGAAAGTTTTGTCTGAACCAAATCCCTACAACTACCTCAAAAGGAGATTGTAGCGAGGTGGAGACCAGTTTCTTCTACCACACCTGCAGTGAGAGGAACAGAGGAAATTACTGTAACCTGGGACAGGGGAGATTCTGATTAGATATTAGAAAAAATTTTTCCCTGTCAGGGTGGTCAGACATTGGAATAGGCTGCCCAGGGAGGTGGAGTCACCACCCCTGGAGGTGTTCAAGAGGCGTCCGGATGTGGCAGATCTGGCGGATGTGGTTTAGGGGTCACAGTGGCAGTGCTGGACTGGATGAGCTAAAAGGTCTCTCCCGATCTTGACGATTCTGTGACTATAATTCTGAGTCCTTCTTGTAGATCCTCTCTGTATCAACGCATCTTCACGGTCTCTTAGGTGCGGCTCCCAGCTAGTTTGTGTTTCCTGGGAAATGGCGTTCTGCCCGCACCCAAAGCGCTCCTTCGGCGAGTGTGGCGGTGCCCCCCGCCGCAGGCGCTCCGGGACCACGGGATCTGCGGCGAGCCCTGGGAACGGCCACGGCCACGGCCACTGGCCCGGACACGGAGATGGACACTAGCCCGGATAAGGGCGGGGCTGGTTGCCCCGCCCAGCCCAGCCCCGGGCTCTGCCTCGGCCCCGCCCCCCCGGCCCCGCCCCTCCTCATGGCCCCGGCCCCGCCGCGGCGCCACGGCGCCCCCTGCCGCCCGCCTCCTGCCAGGCACTGGCCAATGGGAAAGGCGGCCACGCCTCCGGTGGCGCTGATTGGCCGCGGCTGGGAGGGTGTCGCCGCGGGTGGGGGAGCACCGGCGCAGTCGCGGGCGGGCGGGCGGAGGAGGTGGTGCCGTCTCGCGAGTCGCAGTGTCGGCGTGTCACAATGCCGAGGGAGATCGAGCTGTGCCCCGGGCGGCGCGTCGGCGGCGACCAGCCGTGCTTCATCATCGCCGAGATCGGGCAGAACCACCAGGGCGACCTGGAGATCGCCAAGCGCATGATCCGCATGGCCAAGGTGCGCGCGGGGAGGCGAGCGAGCGAGCGAGCGCGGGCCCCGGGGCGCTGCCGGGGGACGCGCCCGCGGGGAGCGGCTTCTCCTTCGCGCGGTGGTGCCGCTCGGGAGGAGCGGGGTGACTTGCTGGAGCAAGCTCATTCCTGAAGCAAAGTGTCTGCAGCGAGACCCTTGCGCTCGACTTTGGGGAAGGGTCTGGAGCGCGTGTCCTGTGAGGAGCGGCTGAGGGAGCTGAGTGGTTTAGCCTGGAGAAAAGGAGTCTTTTAAAGGGGAGTTGTGTCGCTCCCTACAGCTACCTGAAAGGAGGCTGTGGCCAGGTGGGGGTCGGCCTCTTCTCCTAGGCAGCCAGCGACAGGATGAGAGGACAGAGCGTCAAGCTGTGCCAGGGGAGGTTTAGATTGGGCATAGGAAGAAACTCTTCATAGAAGAGTGATTAGACACTGGAACGGGCTGCCCAGGGAGGTGGTGGAGTCACCGTCCCTGGAGGCCTTTAACGACAGGCTGGACTGTTTAAGGAAAGGCTGGACATGACACTCAGTGCCATGGTCTTGTTGACATGTTGGTGTTTGGCCACAGGTTGGACTCAGTGATCTCAGGTCTTTTCCAACCTAATTGATTCTGTGATTCTGTGTGACAGCACAGCCCTGCAGCTGTGGTGTGAGGGAATTTGGGAAGAATCGGGCAGCTGCTGAACCATTTCTGATGAACCTCCAGTTTGACCTGGTTGCATTAGGGTTTTTTTCAGGTAATGCTTGTGCCAGCCAGGAAGACAGCCAGGCTGCTTTGAAATTCGATGTTATACCTGTTAGATAGAAAACGGTACATCACTGAAGAACAGCTCAGAGCTGTAACTGTGGTGTAAGTGCAAAGTAGTGTAATGAGGATATGTCTTTACTCTGTGTCACTTCCAATGGATTATTATCCCAGGAGGTGTTCACGAGGCATCTGGATCTCGCACTGGCTGATTCAAGGGTTACAGTGCTGGGTGGATGGTTGGCCCAGATGATCTTGAAGGTCTCTTTCAACATTGATGATTCTGTGAATTTCACATTCAGATTCCTTGTTCCACAGAATCCTGTGTCTTGTTTTAATGTAAAATTATAAAGTGACAGCTGAGCTTGGAAAAAAAACACCACAGAAATCAGCTCCTCAAATAAGTGGCATTCATAGCAAGAGGCTCTGCAGTTTTGTAGGTTTAGTATGATGTCCCTCTAGACTGCTGCTCTACTAAGTATTGAAGTAAAAGGGTTTATATGTCTGCAGGTCCTCAGTCACTCTGTGTTCATTACGATTTCTGTGATTGCTGTGATGATACTGTGAAAACTCCACAGCAAGTGAGCACATTAGTTGCTGAGTTCTTGAGTTCACACTCAGGATGAGTGCAGTTTTTCTTGCACTTCCACTCAGTGTGCACCAGCTTCTTTTGCAGGAATGTGGAGCAGACTGTGCTAAGTTCCAGAAGAGTGAACTGGAGTACAAATTCAACAAGAAAGCCTTAGAAAGGCCCTACACCTCTAAACACTCCTGGGGAAAGACCTATGGGGAGCACAAGCGCCACTTGGAGTTTAGCCATGACCAATACAGAGAGCTAAAGAAGTATGCAGAGGAGATTGGCATTTTCTTCACAGCTTCTGGCATGGATGAGGTATGTAAGCCATACTGGAATGACAGTGGGAGTCTGGTTGTTCTGTCTGTTGGGTATTGTTAGGTGTGATAATTCTTGCATAAAAAGAATATGTGGATGATGAATTTCTACATGAGAGGACTAGAGTAATTTGCCAGTTCACCTGTATGATTGAGTAGATGGCTGAACACTTTGGAAGACTTGCTGTGTGCACTGCTACTACTGTTTATACACAGTAAATAATATCAGAGACAAGGTCTCAGTTTGAACTTCATAAACAATCAAGGCTTTAAGAGTTTAGATCAAGTCAGTGTGATCTGATAGCTCTCCAGTGTTGTCTGGTATGGTGGCTCCAAGAATTTCAAACTTCCTTCTGTATTTAAACCAGATTCCTTTCTTAACCTAATCCAAATTTCCCACTTCTTTTCCCCCTCTTTGCTGTTTACTAGGACCCTGTTGGTGTTTCTAAGCAGCAGAAATGTTTATACCCCTTTTTTTTTATTAATCTCATTGAGAGGGCCCCACCTTGCCCTGTTACTCTGAAGCATTTACTGATTTTTGCCAGTGAGCTCTTGAACAGTCAACTCCACCTTGAGCTTGTCAACTGCATGAAGCTCATCTGCTGCTGTTCCCCCTTAAGATGTGAATACTTCCAGCTGGGCGTGTTGCTCGTCTCAGAATAGTGTTAGTTACAGTATTAAGAAATGCAACACAAATTTGAAATGTGTAAACTGGAAAGATCAGGTAACAGTTGAACTTCAGTGTAGATCAAAGATTACAGATTGCTTTACTTTTCTTTGTGGCCTAGAAAACACAGAAAAGCAAACTGAAAGAGACCCTAGCAGAAGTATGCTAGCCACTCTGCATATGGCAGATCAATGTCCGTGGCTTCCTGCAAGTAGCCTCATCCAGGATGGGATAAGGGTGTGATTTACTTAATATTTTAAGGTCATCTGTTCAGTGCCTCACTCTCTTACCATCAGAGAGAATTCCTAATGTGTTAGGGTTATCTCCTTCCTCATAATTTTTTGTCCTGCCTTATCTGACGTAAAAGTTCATACTTGTAGCTCCTCTCTGATAATTGAACGCAATAATTATTGCACCTCTTCTCTCTTGTAATCTCTGGTCTAGGCAATTTCAATTCCTTCAGCCTTTTTATGCTGTCTTTTCTAGTCCTCTGGCCATTCTTACTGCTGCTATCAACTTACTGTGCTATTGACCAAATTCCTTGAGTTGCTGTGCCTCTTCTGAGGTGGTACAAGCACCAAATATCATAAGGAACTACTTCAGATGCGTGATAGACAAAAAGATGTTTTGTGTGTATGGCAAAAGCTCAGTGCCATGGATTCAGAAATAGATCTGTGAAGAGAGAGTGGTGCCATGTTTTGTTTGTCACGTCTTCATGTGTAGAAGACCTGCTGAAAACCATGTACTCCTTTAACAAAGGAGTAATTGAACCCAGGATTCTTGGACTTCTGTATCTGGGATCTTAAAGACCCATATGCCTTTGCAGGGGAAGAAAAAACCCACACTCCTTCTTGGATGTTAAAACCTCTGGGTTTTAAAGGCTATAGTGCAATACAGAACACCTTTCATATGCAGCAGCTAAGATCACTTTCTGCCTCTGGGATCCCTCTTTCTCTTTGCTGTGCTCCATTGTGTGTGACCTTATCAGCTAATTAACAGAACTGATACATGTTTGTGCCCTCTTGTTTGAACAGTAATTACATTACACATCTCTTAAGATTTCTGGTGGCATTTCTGCAAGACATGGGTTTGGAACTTAAGGAAAACATTGCATAAATTGACATCATAAATCCTCAAGAATATGTTAACTTCTTTAAATTTAACATAATCTCTGGAACTCCAGCTATGTCAAAGAGGTTAAATTGTGTGTTAACTATATGAGGAAATCAATGAACTGATGTGTGAAGTAAATACAAAGGCTATGAATAACTTCTTTATCTATTCTGTTCCAGTGTGTACTGGAGACAAAACAGGATCTCATTGAACCACTCCCTTTAATGTCATTCCTTTTGCTTGAAATTACTTCCTGATCCTTGAATCTCCTACAGAAAAGCTGCCAATTTTCAAGAGATATTTACCTAATGAAGAGTGGCTTTAGATATGAGGTCTATTCTGTTATATTTCATTTTGTGCCATCTCCTGAGATTAGATCTGTGGGGGTTTAATATAATGTATTCATTGTCTTTATGCACAATACATTTTAATGAATAAACTATATTAAAGAGATGTTATACATCCTAGGTACAAGAAATTGCATCTCCATCATACTGATGATAGAAAAATTAGACCAAATAAGATGAGTTTCTCCTCTGGACATTAGCACTCTTTCTCTGGCACTGAGTAAATTTAACTGCAACAAGGAAAGAGCTGAAGAAATTAAAAGTGTTTGTGGGTGATTGATGGGGAACAAAGGTGACTACTTAATTGTTTTCCCTGGAGGTGAAATGGAGGATTTAAATATCTCTTGCCTTTAATAGGTTTGCAATTAGAATTTTCTTCCTTGACAATACTAATTTTTAAAAGGCCCTTACTGATGTAAAAACCAGTTTTCAGGGAGCCTCCAGTAATTCCTGAATTGTCTTCAAAATAGCACACTTATTTTTAGGCAAAAGAAGAGTATAATTAGCAGTTGAGTAAACTGCTTGATAGCCTTTTCTTTGGCATATTTTATTTTCTAGTATCTCTCCTAGAAGCAAGCCCATTTTGTATTTCCCTTTTTGGGTGCTTCTTTTTTTCAGGTGCTTATTTAATATGCTGTGGTAGTTTGGCCTAGGCCTTCCTTGGTGACCAGCTTGTAACCAAGGAAGTGCCCAGATTTACCCGGTACAATTTTTCAGTGTGGCAGATCCATTCAGGAAAACTACCTGTAGTTTTAAACTCTCTGTGGTTTAATATTTCTGACCTGCAGGAAGTGTGTGGCTGGAAGACTGCCTGCGTGCCTGTAACGCATTCCTTCAAAGGGCAAGCTCTCATCTGCAGGTAGTTGCTCTCTCTGGTAGTGCTAAAAAAAAAAAAAAAAAGCAAGAATGCTGTGGCCCACAAGTTCATCCTTATGTTAGAGGAGCAGTGGAACTCTCCTGTACTAAGCAGCAGTTCCTACAGCTGGCTGACCAGCTGTGGCTGGGAGACCAAAGAGGCTGCCTTCCAACCGTGATCCCAGTCAAAAACCTGTAGAGAAATAGTACAAGTATGAAAGAAGGCACCATAATTATACTTTCACCTGGAGGGAAAGCAGAAACCAATATCCTCAGGACAGCAAATGTTACTTCAGGAGCAGTGTATTGTGGGGAGATAACTATAATATCTACCTATTTAACTCAGCCTTGGTTTTGCTATTCTGAAGGGTTATTTCCTGGCACAGTGGTTCTTTATCCTTTGATCCAGCTGGTGTGTTAAAATGCAGTGACTTCTTTTCCTTGTAGATGGCTGTGGAATTTCTTCATGAGCTGGATGTTCCATTTTTCAAAGTAGGATCAGGAGATACAAATAATTTTCCATATTTGGAAAAGACTGCAAAGAAGGGTAAGCATTTTCTTTGAGCCATCTTGGTAAACATCACTGTGTCTCAGTACATCAGTTATTAGATCTTTCATCCAGTTGATTTTTGGGAAAAAATCTGAAGTTTCTTTAGAAGAAACTCAACCTCAGGCTTGGGGAAAAAAAGGTTCACCCAGCATTCTTTTCTAGTTTTACTGGATTAATTCACTACTAGAGCTTAACTTAATCTTGTGTAGCTTTCTTGCAGGCCTACGGCAAAATTTTTGTGTTATCTTCTAATGGCTAGGTCGCCCAATGGTGATTTCCAGCGGCATGCAGTCCATGAACACAATGCATCAGGTTTATCAGATTGTGAAGCCCATCAATCCAAACTTCTGCTTCCTGCAGTGCACCAGTGCTTACCCACTTCAGCCAGAGGATGTCAATCTCCGTGTTATATCGGTCAGTGAGTAACCCGTGCGTAGGGTGGCAGAGAAGGGCTGTGCACTTCTGCTGAGTTGCACTTCCAGATCTTTGGCATGCTGGAATTTGCTTCTGAGAAGTTAGAAGATGTATCGTGTTCCTCTAATTCATGCAAGCGTTGAACTAAAAACACCCAAAAGATCCTTTTTTTATCAAAACTCATCTTTGAGGAATATGATAAAGGATATTACTGGAGTATTCACAGCTCAACAGAGGAAAATATGACATTTGGTTAACAGGTTAACCCTGTGCTTTATAGTGCAAAGAAAAATTATGTACCGTTAAGAAAGTGCATGGAAGTGAGAACATAACTCTAAATAGGGAGCTAGACCAGCAACTTCTGGTCAAAAAGCTTCATGTGAGTATCAGAGTAGAGAAGAAAATGGATTAGACCCTGGTACAGTTCCCTTCACTGGAAATATTACTTGGATATGCCTAATAATGATGTAAGAAAGTTTTCCGAAATTGGCCAGTGTTTAAGCACCAGCTTAGATTTATGCACATGTAGTATGTTATTGCAACATTGCTGCATTTAATTGCCTTTAGGATTGGGTGACTGTCCCCTATGTATGGATTAAAAGATTGCTTCAAAATTGAAACACAGAGTTGAAGAAATCTGCTTTGCATATAGGTTAAGTTTTACCAGTCCACTGGGTTCTTGTGTGAAAATAGAATGTTACTCTATTACTGTTAGTTACAGTAATGTAGGCTTTGAAGACCTGGAATAGTAGAACTGAATTAAAAGGAAAAACATTAAGTTGTAGAAAAGAACATACCTCCTTTTTCGTGTTAGTATTGATAATGTTAGTGAAATTCGGAACGTGGCAATTGGTAATGCAGTGTGACTTGTTGAATGTAAAAAAATGTATTCTCAGCATAACCAACTGCTTGTTTTGTGGCACAATAATTGCCCTTGGGTTTTTATTGCAGTTATCACTGTTAAATTTGCTTTGTCTTTGAAATTGCTACCTTGGTAATTAAGACCATCTCTGTTGTGATTCAAGGCGTATCAGTCAGCTTTTCCTGATATCCCCATCGGCTATTCGGGACATGAAACTGGCATAGCCATTTCAGTGGCAGCTGTTGCTATGGGTGCTAAAGTAGTGGAACGCCACGTGACCCTTGACAAAACATGGAAAGGAAGCGACCACCAGGCATCTCTGGAGCCAGATGAACTGGTGGAGTTGGTGAAAGCCATCCGTACTGTGGAAAAAGCAATGGGTTCTCCAATCAAACAACTCTTGCCCTGTGAAATGGCTTGCAATGAAAAGGTAACTTTTGCTTTTGATTCATGTAAACCTGCAGCTCATTTAGACCTATAGCTTATAATCTATATTCAGAAAAATAGCTTGCTGTTTGTTTATTGCAGTAGTGTTTCTGCCTCTGCACTCAAAAAATTTCTCACTGCGTTACGTTGGCAGTTTTGAGTATAATGGAGTTCTGTGTTTATCGTCCAGTAGTTAACTAAGTTGAGTAGAAATATGGAATCATTTAGGCTGGAAAAGACAGTTAAGATCATCGAGTCCAACTGCTAACCTAACACTGCCAAGTCCACCACTAAATCATGTTCCTAAGTGCCACATATGTTTTAAATAACTCCAGGGATGTTGACTCAACCACTTCCCTGTTCTGGACTGTTTCAGTGCTTGATAATCCTTTTGGTGAAGGAATTTTTCCTAATATCCAATCTAAACATCCCCTGGCACAGCTTGAGGCCATTTCCTCTTGTCCTATCTCTAGTTGCCTCATAGAAGAGACTCACCCCCAGCTGGCTACAACCTGCCCTTCAGGCAGTTGTAGAGAGCAGTAAGGTCCCCCTGAGCCTCCTTTTCTCCAGACTGAACAACCCCAGCTCCCCAGCTCTTCATAAACCTGTTCTTTAGACACTTCACCAGCTTCGTTGCCCTTCTGTGGACTCAAATCCAACACTTCAATGTCCTTCTTGTAGTGAGGGGCCCAAAACTGGACGCAGTATTCAAGAGCGGCCTCTCCTGTGCCAAGTACTCAGTAACAGTAAAGGGAATAATATGTCTCTATGACTGTATATGAGCTGCTTTTACATTAAGCTAAAATACCAGTCCTTCTAATCAGATTCCCTCCATTGTGATTTCGGAACATTCCAGTAAGCCACCATACAGTTTCAGAAAGGATCTGGATGTTCCCGGCAGCCCAATTACAGTGAAGGTTTCCATGGCTAACTCAGCTTTCATTTGGAATAAGCAATGCAGAGGGCACAACCTGTTCCCAAATAACCGCAGAATATTTTTTATCCTTTTTTCGTATACTAAGCCTAGCAATGTGTTTGACTTAAAACTTTTTTTCCCCACCCCTCCCCTGTAGCTGGGAAAGTCTGTTGTGGCGAAAGTGGCAATTCCTGAAGGTGCCGTCCTGACACTCGACATGCTGACCGTGAAGGTGGGAGAGCCGAAGGGATTTCCCCCAGAATCCATCTTTGATCTGGTGGGCCAGAAGGTTAAAAAAAGTATCGAAGAAGATGAAACCATCACTGAGCAAGTAGTGGAAAATCATGTAAAAAAAGTGAAGTGCTAAACCAAAGCACTCCACTCCATGTTTCATGATGTACTACTGCACAGCATATTTAAGTGTAGCAAAGAAAGGGGCATAATTATGGGGATCCAAGCAGGTTAGCATTTTCAGGTTCTCATTAGTAGGAAGTTTCTGAAGCAAGGGGATATAAAGTATGAAGAGCATTTTATTAGAAACTGTATAGCATTGTGCCTAGGAAATACCGTGCTCCTCCCTTCTCCATTCCACTTAACTTAGATTAATTCGGAGTTCTGCCAAATCTGAGACCACAGTCTGTGATTTCTGGCTTCCCTTTCTGTTAAGAATACAGTAAATCATAAGAATTTTTCGTACTAGAAAACTTTCTACTAGAACAACTTCTGAGTTGTTCTAACCCCTTATCTTTTGATATTCCTTTCTTTTCTGCCCACTTGCCTCACCCCTGTAATAGCAGGACTCTATCTGGAGTTGAAGGCAGCTAAGTGAAAGTTCACATACCCTGAACAGAAAACTACACATGCAACCTGATGAATTTTTCTCGAGATGAAAGCCTTAAGATGAAAAGACTTGTGATAAAACAGTGGGTTGCAGGAATCTGCACTCTGTGGGAAAATGGGCTTCTTGAGAAATGTTTTCAAGAGACAGTACCAAGAAAGGAAGCATACTGGATATGTAGAATGGTCCCATTTAAGGGGCAAGAGAACCTTTTTGTGAACTGAAAGGCAGGAGGGCAAGCCAGACAGATTAAGCAGGTGAGAAAAGTAGCTCTGACATGAATCAGTGGAAATAAACTTAACCTATGCTTTAAAATTTGTCAGAAGCATCCGTTGTGAGCTGAGTGAAGACTAGATCTTAAATCAATTCTGCAGAGCATTTGGATACCTCTGTTTGGACCTGGGAGGGGGGTAAACTTCTCAGGTAGGAAGCCAAATGCTGGTGAAGATTGAACAGCCCTTTTCCTGTACTAACAAGCAAATACATTATGTTAGGGTTTTTCCCTGAACACTGGAGTTTGAGATGGCCAAGGCTGACTGCCTGACTACATGTGCTGGTTTAAAAGTTAACCAGCAGGGGAAATGAACTCAACTGCTGGTGGGAGAGCTGCTGCAGTCTGGTCAGAAAGTGGTGATTGCAGTTCAGTTGACGGTGGTGGTCTCAGTCTGGTTGAGAGCAGTGAGCTGCAGTCTTCCTCTGGATCCCACGAGTGGTGGAAAGGTTCTGAAAATTCCCAGTTCATATATTCACCAGCTCAGGTGGGAGTGCTCAGTCCCTCCCTCAAAGCGGGGAATTCCATAAAAGGGCATGAGGATGCTCAGTCCTTCCCTCAGAGAGGGGAATTCCATAAAAGGGTATCAGAGCGGGAAATTCCATAAAAGGGTATGAGGACATGTGCTGGTTTAAAAGTTAACCAGCAGGGGAAATGAACTCAACTCAAAAGAGAGATTATAAGTCAGAATAACAATTTATTAAAATAATGCAATAAGTACAATTATACAGACAGACAATTGGTTTTAACCCGCAAAACCCAAATGTATAACCCGGCACCCTGAACAAAAGTGGTGTTCCTTGGCCCCCCGAGTCCAAAGTAAAGGGAGAAGGGAAAAAAACTTGCTGGTGGGAGAGCTGCTGCAGTCTGGTCAGAAAGTGGTAATTGCAGTCCAGTTGAGGGTGGTGGTCTCTATCTGGTTGAGAGCGGTGGTCTGCAGTCTTCCTCTGGATCCCACGAGAGGTGGTAAAGGTTCCGAAACTCCCAGTTTATATATTCTCCAGCTCAGGCGGGAGTGCTCAGTCCCTCCCTCAGAGCGGGAAATTCCATAAAAGGGTATCAGGATGCTCAGTCCCTCCCTCAGAGAGGAGAATTCCATAAAAGGGTATCATAGCGGGAAATTCCATAAAAGGGTATGAGGACAGGAACATCTTCCCACCTCGCAGGCCTCTACTGATAACAGTTTCTGGGAAATGGCATGGAAGGCTTAAGAATACACAGTTTGGGGTTACACCCATCCAGTGATGAATTGGTCCCAGCCGTTCTAACCAGGACATTATTCACCCCTTATTCTATGCCATCCATGTCATGCCCAAATTAACCCCCCTAAAAACTATGTCTCCCCAAAACTATACACACACACACATATATATATATATACAATGAAACATTACAGACCATTCTCACTCAAAATTAGGTCCCCTTGTGGTACACAACGTGTCTCCCCATCTTTTTGCATTACCCACCAGGTGAAACCAGGTCCTTGAGCAAAAACAATCCCTCGGATGGGTTTGCCTTTGCTTGAGGTGGGACTAATCCAAACAGTCTTCCCTAACATACCTCTCATATGCACCACGGGGACTTTATCTCCATCTACAGTATGCAAAGGTTCTGATTGGGCAGGGCCAGCTCGATTGATGGAACCTCGCGTGTTGACCAACCAGGTGGCCTTTGCTAAATGCAGCTCCCAGTGTTTGAGAGTCTCCCCACACAGTGCCTTCAGGGTGGTTTTCAGCAGTCCGTTGCACCGTTCAACTTTTCCAGCAGCTGGTGCATGGTAGGGGATATGATACACCCACTCAATGCCGTGCTCTCTGGCCCAGGTGTCTACGAGGCCATTCTTGAAATGGGTCCCATTATCGGACTCAGTTCTCTCCGGGGTGCCGTGTCGCCACAGGACTTGTTTTTCAAGGCCCAGGATGGTATTCCGGGCAGTGGCATGAGGTACGGGGTATGTCTCCAGCCATCCAGTACTTCCTTCTACCATGGTCAGTACGTAGCGCTTGCCTTGGCGGGTTTGGGGGAGCGTGATGTAGTCAACTTGCCAGGCTTCCCCATACCTGTACTTTGACCACCGTCCACCATACCATAGAGGCTTCACCCGCTTGGCCTGCTTGATGGCAGCACGTCTCACAGTCATGGATGACCTGTGAGACAATGTCCTTGGTTAAGTCCACCCCTCGGTCACAAGCCCATCTGTATGTTGCATCTCTCCCCTGGTGACCGGAGGCGTCATGGGCGCATTGAGCCAGAAATAATTCTCCTTTGTGCTGCCAATCCAGATCTACCTCAGAGACTTTAATCCTGGCAGCTCGGTCCGCCTGCTTGTTGTTACGATGCTCCTCATTAGCCCGTTTCTTGCGTACGTGAGCGTCTACGTGACCAACCTTCACACTCAGCTTCTCTACCCAGCCAGCGATGTCCTGCCACATCTCCGCCACCCAGATGGGTTTCCCTTGGTGCTGCCAGTTGGCCTTTCTCCATCGCTCTAGCCATCCCCACAGAGCATTGGCCACCATCCATGAGTCAGTGTAGATATAGAGTCTTGGCCACTTCTCTCATTCAGCTATATCCAAAGCCAACTGAATGGCTTTAAGCTCTGCAAACTGACTTGACCCACCTTGTCCTTCGGTCGCTTCTGCAACTCGCCGTGCGGGACTCCACACAGCTGCCTTCCATTTTCAGTTTGTCCCTACAATGCGGCAGGAGCCATCCGTGAAGAGCGCATATCGCCTTTCATCTGCTGGTAGCTGGTCATATGGTGGGGCCTCCTCAGCCCATGTCACCTGCTCCTCTTCTTCTTCAGAGGATAGTCCGAAACTTTCACCTTCGGGCCAATTGGTGATAATTTCCAGAATCCCAGGGCGATTAGGATTCCCTATCCGGGTTCGTTGTGTGATCAGAGCGATCCACTTACTCCATGTGGCATCGGTGGCGTGATGTGTAGAAGGAACTCTCCCCTTGAACATCCAGCCCAGCACTGGTAGTCGGGGTGCCAGGAGGAGCTGCGCTTCAGTGCCAATCACTTCTGAGGCAGCTCAAAGTCCTTCATAAGCAGCCAGGATCTCTTTCTCAGTTGGTGTATAGCTGGCTTCAGATCCTTTGTATCCCCGACTCCAGAATCCCAGCGGTCGTCCTCGGGTCTCCCCAGGCACTTTCTGCCAGAGGCTCCAGGAAGGGCCATTCTTCCCGGCTGCAGTGTAGAGCATGTTCTTCACATCCTGTCCTGTCCTTACTGGCCCAAGGGCTACTGCATGGGCAATCTCCTGTTTAATTTGTTCAAAGGCCTGTTGTTGTTCAGGGCCCCCCTGGAAATCATTTTTCTTCCGTGTCACAAGGTAGAGAGGGCTTACAATTTGACTGTACTCGGGGATATGCATCCTCCAAAAGCCCACAGCACCTAGGAAAGCCTGTGTTTCCTTCTTGCTGGTTGGTGGGGACATGGCTGCTATTTTGTTAATCACCTCCGTTGGAATTAGGCGACGTCCATCTTGCCACTTCACTCCTAGGAACTGAATTTCCTGAGCAGGTCCCTTGACCTTACTTCGTTTAATGGTAAAACCAGCTCTTAGGAGGATCTGGATTATCTTCTCTCCTTTCTCGAAGACTTCCCCCGCTGTGTTCCCCCATACAGTGATGTCATCCATGTACTGTAGATGTTCTGGAGCCTCGCCCTTTTCCAGTGCAGTCTGGATCAGTCCATGGCAAATGCTGGGACTGTGTTTCCACCCCTGAGGCAGTCGATTCCAGGTGTACTGCACACCTCTCCAAGTGAAAGCAAATTGTGGCCTGCACTCCGCTGCCAAAGGAATGGAGAAGAAGGCGTTGGCAATGTCAATGGTGGCATACCACTTGGCTGCCTTGGACTCCAGCTCGTACTGGAGCTCCAGCATGTCCGGCACAGCAGCACTCAGGGGTGGTGTGACTTCATTGAGTCCACAGTAATCCACCATCAGCCTCCACTCTCCGCTGGACTTACGCACTGGCCATATAGGGCTATTAAAGGGTGAGCCTACAATCACAGATGTAGATTGCTTCAGGTCTCTGCTACACATCTGAACGTGGACACTGAGCAGTTGTCTCTGCTTTAACTCCCTCAGAATTGAGCTGGAGTACAGAGGGCAGCACCTATCACAGGCTGCAAGCCTGGAGCACGACCAGTCACTGCTTGGCCCTTTTCACAATGGTGCCCACAGCAGATATCACCGTAGTTTTGGATCCACTTGCGCTGGTTGTCACTGTGACAACCCCCGGCAGTGTGGCAGTGGTGGTGAGGATGGTGGGCTGAGCTATTGTTGTCACGGGGATGGCAGAGTCCCACTTGCTCTTCCTCTTCTGGGCATCTCCCACAGTGGTACTGGCTGTTGTGGTGGTTGTAGAAGCGGCGCTTGTTGTTGTGCCCTTTTTAGTGCCAGTCACAAATTCAATCTTTGTGTGTTCCTTCTTGGCCTTCTTCAGTTTGTCCATTTCAATCTTCTGGGCTTTGGCTAGTGCCTCGTAATACGAATCCTCTGACCAGCCATGAGGGTCAAACATGTCCTTTGGATAATTTGTACCAAGTTCATCAATGGAACAAAACTGGATCAGCTTTTCATAGATGCTGGGGTTGCGAAACTCTTTTTTCCTCTGGATGATGTAGTTCATATCCATGCCCTCTTTCATTTTCCTCTCATACAGCTTTTGAATTTTATCCTGCAACTGGTTAGAACATCTGCCAGGAGGCTCAGGAGGGATTTTGATCTCATCTGGAGACATGTTCCGCACTCTCTCCGCAGGCGCTCCCCCGTCGCTCCCCACCGTGCCGGCCTCACTGTCTGACTCCAGGTCCGAGTCCTTGGCGTAAACCGCCAGCAAGGATAGGACGCTGCGCTTCGCCGCCACCATCTTTCGCCCCGCCCCATGTTGGGCACCAAAAATGTGCTGATTTAAAAGTTAACCAGCAGGGGAAATGAACTCAACTGCTGGTGGGAGAGCTGCTGCAGTCTGGTCAGAAAGTGGTGATTGCAGTCCAGTTGAGGGTGGTGGTCTCAGTCTGGTTGAGAGC